TACTTTCCTACTACTTGCACTGTGAATCCACAATTTCTCCTATCTGGACAGCCATCTCTCTCTTTGAATGCGATTAGGTCATCTGTACACAGAGGTCATTTCGGGGGGGATCGTGGGGGATCGCAGTTCCCCCGGGTGAGGTACGGGGGGCGGGGCACATGACAAAGCCCCGCCCCCTGCTTCCGGCCGCCCCGCTTCTGGCCCTCATTCAGCCAGGAGGAGGCAGGAGAAGAGGGAGGGTAAGTTGCTTCCTCCCTGCCTCTCTCCACCCCTGCCTGCCTGGGGCCAGGGAGGGCCTTCGTGGGGCTTCCTTGCACTCCTGCCAGCCTTGCAGGTCCACCACCGGGCCCCTCATGGGGCTCAGCAGTGGAGCTGCAAGGCCGGCAGCGGCCGGGACCGTTGGGGGCGGGGGGTGTGGCCTTATGACACACTTCCGGTGATGTCAGGGGATGTGGCATATGCTAATGAGTTATGCTAATGAGTTCCCCTAGCTCTTTTTCTACGAAACGACCCCTGTCTGTACATCCTTCTTGCAGTAGCCCCCCCCCCGGCTTTCACCATTGTGTGCATGACCAATCCTGTGCTGAATATATTAAAGGCTTGAATGCTCAAGCGCACATAAAACAGTGCTCGGTTACACACCGGTAGTTCATATGTGCATGCACAAAGAATTTTTTTTTAAAAAATTGTGCTGCACCACCACTTAGGCAGTGCAGCTGTGCCTGGAGCCTCATTGCGCAATGCAAGTGGTTGGGCAAGGGATGTGTGATCATCTGAACCCGCTAAAAAATATCCCCGATCAAATCTACAGCGGGAACAAATTGCAGTAAGCTTGCCGTGTGACCACACCCTCAGTGTTATCCTCATTCAAGCTCTACTATGCAGGCTGGTACAAGGTCAAGAGAGCCCCAGGGAGTCTGTGGCCTGTGAGGATCAGATATGTTGAACAAGTTGCCAGTAAATAATTGTTCCTATTTTCAACTTAGGATGGTCCAAAGTATGTTTGGGAAAAGAGACTCATAGTATGCTTTAAAGCTCACTGGAAATGGGCTATTGGAAAGAACTAAACTGCAGAAAACTCTGCATGGTAGAGAAGCAAGGAAAAACTTTTAGGATGGATCCAAACAGTCTCACAGTCCCATTCCTTACTCCAGGCTCCTTACACATGCCTTTTCTGCATGCAGGTCCCAAGATTCCCAGCATAGCTTTTTTTCTGTGATCAAAGTGGACGGTCTTCTCACTTTTTTTCCATTGGAAAAGTTGGCTGAGTCCAAGGCTTTGTCTTACTTGGCAATCTATTTGACCAACCCCATGATGAGAAAGAATTACAGAGCTTCATTTAGAGAACAAACCAAATGTGATTCAGGATCTCCATGATTACATCAATTGATGTTTTTGTTCACTTTAACAAAGGTGTGGGAAACTCCTAATTTAATCAGAGTGGTAAACTCTGGCATTTAACCTGCCCCCCAACACTGTTTTCCTGACTGCATAATTCCCCCCCCCAAAAAGCAGCTATTAGCTCATTTTTCCCTCTACAAAGCTACAGCAGCTTGTATCTGTCCATCATATTTTTATCCTGCCCTTCTTCCTAGGAGTTCCTTCTCCATTTTATCCACACACAAGTCCTGTGTGGTAGGTTGGGCTAAGCAGAGAATGACTGGCCCCAAGGTCATCCAATGAGTTTCATGGCAGCTTAGAACCTTGGACTCACAAGTCCTACTAAGCCGCTACCCACACAATGTGGTTCACTGGGGAAGCCCATAGGCAACATGCATGTGGGAGCTAAAGAGAACCCACAACTGACAGTTACACAGAACATGCACTCTGATCTGTAAAGAGAGAAAGGGTTAAACATCCAAGCTGATTTTGCACAAGGAGCTGCGCCGCCATCACACCTCCCTTTGCCTTGTTTCCATTGGTCAATTTCCCACTCGAAGCTGCGCAGCTGCATTTTGACCCGTGGCTTCATCCGATTTTCCCCGCGGAGAAAATCGGGTGAAGCCACGGGTCAACATGCGGCCGCGCGGCTTCAAGTGGGAAATTGACTAATGGAAATGGGGCAAAGGGAGGTGCGATGGCAGCACACCTCTTTGTGCGAAATCAGCCCCAGCTTTACTGCTCCTATTAAATGTTGTGCGTCTTGCAGTCACACACGCACACACACGCACACAAAATTGGCTGATTCAAAAAGTTGGGTCTTCAGCATCACATTTAACTTGGACCTGAAACATATTAGGTCATGACAGTTCTTTGTATTCTCTCCTTTAAATGACCTCAGGACAGCAATACCAAAAGCTCTTTCATTATTTTGTGTAATCACTTCCTAATAGACCAATTGATGGATTTACTATTCATATGCCATTTTCACAAATAGTCTAAACCTTCACGCGCGGAATTATATAGTTCCTGTTTTAAGTACTCACATCTTTTACATGATAACATATAATTTTGTAATGATACAAACACAGCAGGCTCATGTTTAATCAACATAACCATGTTTTTAGTATACAGGGAGTAATATTTATAGAAGAATAATTAAAAAGAGAATTGAGGAGGCATGTTGAGTCCAACCATTTCTAGGATCATGCAGCAAAGCAAAACCTTAACGAAAGCTGCTTTTCATTTTTTGGTTAAATTCAAGGTAAAGGACAACATGTCTTAAGACTCCTCTTCACACATCTTGAGACTCTTGTGATCTTTACAATTTATGCTGGCACAGCAAATGGTTTTTGCTGCTGTTTGTTGTGTATACCACATGGAGATACAAAATATGTTTTCAGATTATTGTAGCAAAGTGATGTATAGCATTTATAGGAATACACATGAAACAACCACACTTCATTTACCAACTCTAAAAGAAAAAAATGAAGTGAAATTAATATTGCTTTCAAAAAGATATTGATAAGACAGAAGGATTGCACTACCATAGGGTAAATGGACAATCAGGCTAGTGGCAGCGCCACTTAAATAGCACTGGAACAGGGGTGTCCAGAGCCCTGTACAGGTGATGTACTGGTGTAGAGCAGTGTTCCCTCTAAGCTGAGTTAGTGTGAGTTGGCTCACCGTTTTTTTAGCCTCCAGCTCACACATTGTTGTCTCGGCTCTGGAAGGAGGGCTCCGGAGCAAACTCATTGATCCAGCAGCCAGATCACTTGCTCACAGCTTTAAGGCCAGCAGCTTAAAAAGTAGAATTTTTGCTCACAAGCCTCCACAGCTTAGAGGAAACATTGGTGTACAGGGTCAATGTGTATAGAGAAGGAGATGGAGAGAAAACACTAGTACTGTCCTCACCCACATCTGAGCATACCAGCCACACTCTTCCCAATGAATGTTCACCAAGCCCCTACGAACTGTGTGCATGTAGGATCTGTTCCCATGACTGGGAATGATGAGTGATAACCCACTCCATGCATGTTGGCTCTATACACTAATATGTCCTGTTTACAGGGCTAAGATGACTGTACTATCCATCATAACCAGCAGCTGCTAACATCAGACAGAGGCTTTTGACCAAGTGGACTGTAAATAAAAAGTGTATAACAATAGAAGGGCATGTGCTCCTTTACAGAATTACCTGGCATTGTTTGTCTTTGTTCACATAAACATAGCTTGATTATAGTTATGACAAATAACACTGTTTAGAGAGCCATGATCATTTATGTTATGTACTAACAAAGCTGAATGAATTGATGAAACTGAATCACAACAATCAACTTAGGAGAAGAGATTCTCTCGCTGACCTAGATGGCCCAGGCAAGCCCAGTCTCATTAGATCTTGGAAGCTAAGGAAGGATCAGCCTGGGTGAGTACTTGAATGGTCTTCCACCAAGGAAGTCCAGGGTCTTCTATTAGTATTAGGTCAAAGAGCTGATGATCTAGCTATGCTGTTTAATCAAGGAACAAAAGCCTGAATCGGATTAAACTTCTGCCAACCTGCTCCCTACAAGTAGTGGGACAGCAAAAATACACCTTGCTGCCTGGTTTATCATCAGTATGTCCTGATGTTCTGAGAGTTCTCGATGTCCACAATCCAATATAACATTTTAATAGGATGTTCTGACAGGCCCTATCTACCAATTGAGGGGACCCACACAGCCTCCTATGTTTTTGGGGAGCGAAGTCTGTTTTAAGATGATGAACCTTCCTTTCAGAAATCAGATGTTTTTAAGGTAGCAAGTTCACTGCCATGAGGTGAGTTTTCTGGTGAGCAAGTAGAACACAGAGATCACTGTGCCGAGAGTCACATATAAATAATGAAGAAGACTGATTTATTTACAGGTTAAAAGAACAGATTGGCAGCACAGGTCTCCAGATAGTCAGAGGAGAAACCTGGCTGAGACACAGAAATTTAAGCCAGTTATAGCTTTCGAGTGTGATCTGATTTTTTCTTTAATGCTTTCATGTACAAACAGGCACAGTTTCTGCCACTTTACCAGGCACAGCTACTGTTCAAACTGTCTGCTCTTTTACTCAGGCAGACCCAAATTATCACTGCATTCTCCCTGATGGCAAGACAGATCTAAACTCCCCCTGTGTTTCTCTCCAACATTACATCACCACTCTGAAAGTTTTAGATGCTGGAGCAGAATTCCCATAGGGTCAGCTGAATGACTGTTTCTCCCTTCAGGGAGAGGGCAGCCTCCTGTCTGTCACAGATATGCATTCTCGAAATTAAATGTGCATAAGCAGTCCACTCCTGGATTTTGGGCAAGATGTCAACTATGCAGTCTGGGTTTACATGAGTATCATTTTAGGTGTCTAATCCCTATTCAAGTGTTCCTCCCATATACAGATATCTGGTAGACTTGGAGGCAGGATGTATACATGATTGGTGAAGTGGTGAGATAGTCTTGCCCTCCTGCCCTGCATAAGGAGTCAAAATATCATTAAAACGCAGTATGATCTGATTTTTAAAATTATTTTGCTTCCTTGAAGTTTAGTAGAGGTATATGATATAACATAGCAATACGTTCACTGGAAATTAGAACAAATCTTACCCCTAAATATAGTAGTATTCCATAGAACGTAAATCTCCAGAAGAAACATCTTTTAAGAGCACTGATGAGTCTGGGTCTTTTCTTTGACGCCAACTCTCTGTCCCATTCCCTAGGGAGAGAAAAAAAGACCAGTGTGACCAAATACAAAGCTCTGGAGCTTTGGCATAGTTCAGTTCACTCAAAGATATCCAAGGAGATCTAGCTAAGGTGACTAATGGAATAAAGGCTTTGCAAAGACCCCAAATATCTGATTCTCAATGACTTGATAGCTCAATAAAAGTTCAAGTGTAGTTCAGCTGCATATTTGGCAGATTTAAATACCTAGTCGTATATCACTCTGCAGGGAGTTAATTCATTTAAAAGGTCACACTGTATGTTTTAAAGAAACCTGCTGTACTTCTTAAGACCAATGCACAAATAATAGGCAAATAAAGGTTTTGGAGCGCCTCCAGTCCTCAGCAAGAATAAAACAAAGATAAGCTATTCTAAACAATTCTATTTTGTGACTTTTTCAATGTACTGAATACACCATGTCAGCTACTGTTGAACACACTTTTTGATGGTATGATTTAAGAACCCAGGGAAATGTCAACCCAGATTTAACATACACACATAAAAATCTTTAATCAAATTGTTCTTTTAATATTTGTATTATAAAGTACACTTCCCTTGCATTAACTTGATATAATTAAATAGTATATGATATAAATGGCTCTGAGCTGAAATCAATCCTATGCAAAATGACTTGGGAGTAACCCATCGAAGAAAGAGATGCTTACTTCAGAGTAACAGTGGAGTGGATTTGGCTGCAAGTTTCTTTAAAAAACTAATATCCACAGATGAAGAACAAGGATTACCATCCATCTTGTATTAAACTATTTCTTTTACCCATTAAACTGAAATTCTGTCTTTGTCTTATAAAATATGGCATAATGCTAATACATACCTTTCTAATTTTTCTGAAAGATTATCTGCAGAATCTGCGGCAGGGATCTGATAAATGTCTGACAATTCCAGGCGTTGTCTATAACCCTTTCTCAAAATAGGCTTTGTCCACCTAATAAATAATAATGATTTTTTTTCAAATTAATGTTGAAATAAATTTGGGCAGAAGTACATAAAGAATGAAAAATCCAAAAATCTCCTTAAGAGCCATGTGACAGTTTCTATGTGCACAAGAAGACCTTGGGTCTTCTGAATAGTAGGCAGCTCTTGCCAGAAGCAAACCACTTTTAAAAATGAAAAGGTTAATTTATTTAAATTATGCATACCATGTTACATAAACAACAAGAAATTGCAATTTTTAATATCTATATAGTAAATTACCACATAATGAAAGCACCAAAGTCACATATTAAGACAACTTCACAACAAAACTTTCACCAACAACTTCATTAGCCTGCCCCAAAGACTCACTGAAACAGAACACATTGCACACACTCTAAAAAGACATGAATGTAAGTCCCCTCTGCACTCCTTGCAGCAGCAAGCAATTAGTTATGTCTGCAACCAGGGCGTTTTTTGTAGAAAAAGCCCAGCAGGAACTCATTAACATAATAGGCCACACACAACAGCAGGAAAAATAGCATATTAGGCCACCCGCCTGACATGACAGCTCATTAGCATATTAGACCATACCTCATGTCTTCCCTTGGCTTGCCCGGGTGCTCTGCAGCTGCGGGGAGCCCGGGCAAGCCGCCCCTTGAAGGGAAGGGAAGGGAAGGTAGTTTTAAACTGTCTTCCCTTGGCTTGCCCGGGCACCCCGTGGGTGTGGGGAGCCCGGGAAAGCCCCCCCTTGAAGGTAAGGGTGCGACTGCAGGGTGCCCGGGTAAGCCGGCCCTCGGACAGGCCGAGGAAGGCACAGGGAAACATTTAAATGCCTCCCCGATCCTTCCAGGGCCCCGGGGGAGGTGTCACTCTCCATGCCTTCCCTCTGTAGCCATGCATGCAGAGGTTTTGGCTGTAGTGGGCGTAGCCAACTCTGAAGCCAGCCCGAACTCCGTTCCTGTGCAATCCTGCCCAAAAATAGCCCTGAATGCAACAGAATAAAGTGATCTAATGGAAGGTATAGTGAAGAGACGGTCATCCAAGAAGCAGGTCATCCAAGAAGAATAACAGCCACATAGGAGTAGTTTCAGAAGTAGTTTGTAATATGCCATGGGAGTTTTAAAAACCAAATCTCCCAATATCTTGGGCATATCTAATGTGATTCTTGAAGCTACAAATTATATAATATGGGCTTGAATGACTAAAAGAACCCTGACCTGAATGGCCCAGACTAGCCCGATCTTGTCACCTCTCAGAAACTAAGCAGGGGCAACCTTGGCTAGTATTTGGGTGGCAGACCGCCAAAAAATACCAAAAATTGTCACAGAGGCAGCCAATGGAAAACATCTCTGTATGTATGTCTCTTGCCCTGAAAATCCTATGAGGTCATCATTAGTCAGCTATGACTAGACAGCACTTTCCCCCAACATGACTAAAAGAACAATGAATCTACATTTTATTTATCATAAAAGATGCTTATAACAAGGATAACTATTTTGCAAGTCTTACTTTTCATATGTGATGTAGCGTGTAAAAATATATAAATGATACCAGTGGAAGTTTATTTATTTGTTTATTTAAAATATTTTAATGTCACCTTTCCACTCAAATAGGGTCTCCAAGGCAGTGAACATCAAACATTAAAACATTTCACCTTTTCAACATTAGAAACTTTTAAAGTAATGTATATATACAATACTTCACTAAAAAGTTCCATTAACAACAGATTTCTGAGAAACTGCAGTTTATTTCATAAAAACTTATTAGGGCTCAGCTACTCTAAGTGCACCAAAAGGTCTTGGGCATGCCCCACTCAATAATGGACTATTTGACGTAAATTGCTTTGGAAAGTTCTCTTCATTTCAAAGGTAATTTAGTATGTGGCATAGAATAAAAGGATGCTATTCAACAAACATAAGACCATAGCACACATGGGTTGGCATAGCTAAGTAGCCCGGTTCTCTAGTGTCAGGCCTAAATGAAAGAACAGTTACATTAAAGGCACACAGTACAATAACACACTCTGTGATGTTGTATAAAAGACTAGAAGAGAACTGTGCTAAGTTTTTAATTCCACATATTTCCAATTCCAATTACCTTTATTGGCATACAATAACTCTATGAAAGGAATAGCAGTACAAATCCATCCATACGTCAACAAAGGAAAACAGGGTACAGCAGTTTGTAGCACTGTATATAATAATGATAATAGGATAGAATGATAAAAATTTAGAACAGTAATCTCGAATATCGCAGTAATTAAAACAGTTACAATAAGAAGCTTAACTATCCAAAGAGGATAGACACACCTTCTCTCTCAGTTCCACATATTGTATTTTTTTCCCTAGAAAATTGGACTGGATTTGGAGAGGAAACAAAATTGCACTGTGATTTCTCAAAACTAAATCTGAAACCATCTTATCATCTTCTACCTTAACGCAGATAATAAAAGGGAACATTGTCTAATATTCTATTGACTGCCTTAATTCTGATTTCCATTCATAAAATAAAGTAGGTATACTTTTAGGACAACTAGATAAATCTCATTGTCTTTAATAACATTTCTGCCTGAGTCCCTAGGGGCAGGGATTGTCTTCGTAAGGGATTAATGTAGAATGACCATTTAAAGAGTACCATCAGTTTAGGAACAGTGAGGACATGGCACTAGTCCCACTGAATCTTAAAATGATCTGTAAAACAGAAAAGGTGTAGGATTTAAAATGAATTTGTGTGTGTGCGTGTAATAGATTCTTAATTGCAACCTGATCTGTCATAGTACAAATGAAAAACTGTCTTGTACCACTGTTTCATAATTCCCAATACAGTTCTAAAAATTTTGAAACCATGGGAGGAAAACAGGGGAAAGGGGAGAAGAAAAATGGTAATATTAGGAAGGACTGAAATACATGCCACACTTTCCCATCAAACCTGGACTTCTTTTTTTTCATTTAACAACATAAAATGCATCATTTATAACTTTAACATCATGTAAAATTGTACTATTTGGCATACTGATGGAATTTAAAATATAAACACCATTTTCCATGGCTTCCAGAAATCTTACATCTCTATTCTTCCTTAACATTAGAATTCAGTGTCATCCTATTATGTTGACTCAGGACACACAAAATGAAATATTTCTTCATACAACAAATAGTTACGGTGGAATTCACTGCCATTTGAGTTGACTGTCACGTGATATGGGACAGCCACCATTTCGGATGGCTTTAAAAGGTGACGAAACAAATTAATGGAGATAGACACAAGAAGAATTATTTGCCATCATGGTTAAATGAAGCGAGTTACTGAGGAACAAAAGCACAAAAAGACAGTTCATTTACTGCTAGTGGGCTTTCCAGAAAAAAACAGCTGATTGTGAGACAGGATTCTTAGTCTACTTAGTGAGGGCCAGCATGGTTACAGTGTCATATTAGGATATGGAAAACCCGGGCTGGAATCTCTACTCTGCAATGGAAGCTTGCTGGGTAACCTTGGGTCAGTCACATACTCTCGGCCTAACTTACATCATAGGGTTGTCGGCAGGATAAGACGGATGTGTGGACAATGATAGGACCTGCTTTGGGTCCTCATTGAAGTTGCCAGTCTCCGGGTGGTTGCTGAAGATCTCCCAGAATTACAATTGGTCTCCAGGTTACAAAGATCAGTTCCCCTGGAGAAAATAGCTGCTCTGGAAGGTGGGCTCTATGGCATTATACCCACTGAAGTCCCTCCCATCCCAAAATCCCACCCTCCCAGGCTCTACCCCCACATCTCCAGGAATTTCCCAACCCATACCTGGCAACCATAGTCAACATTGGGGATAAATGCAGGGTATAAATGAAGTAAATAAATCAGCCACTTCAATTCTACTTAGTCCTGAACACAGTTATACCCTTTGAAACCCATTGATTTAAATGTATTTGGAAGGCCATAGCTCTGCACTCTCGATTCAAAATGTTGTGGAATTCAGGCTTTTCAAACAATAAAAAAATTATGACATGTTTAGAACACATGTAGAATATGTACTGAATAAGTACCAGAAGGATCCATAGAGGTAATGAAAAAGGAACTATTTGGTCTCTAGTTAGGGTTGCCAAACCCCCCGGTTTGCCAGGGGTTCCCCATTTTGGGGGGGGTTTTACACGCCGCCGGCCAGATGGCCGGTGGGGGAACCCCACCCCCAACACCACAGCCACCCATCTCTCTCCCTTTAAGGGTGTGCGACCCGTGTTTCATCCCAAGCGCGAACTCCGCAAGCTTGCAGGGAAAAGCCAGCTTCGTTCTTAAAAGGGAAACGCAGCTTTTTTTAAGGGGGAAACGCCGGCTGCCGGCTACTTTAAGTGTAGAGAAATGCTGTTTCTGGAGATCCGGCGCACGGCGGGGGGGGGGCAGACATCCCCAACATGATGTCATCACATTGGGGATGCCCCACCCCTTCCAGGAACGCCCCCAAAGTCCCCCGCTGGGGGTGGAAGATGGACTTGGCAACCCTATCTCTAGTATTTACATGTTACCTGATGAACCATCTTCTCCCATACTATCTAGCCCAGCAGCTGAGATCTGCCTACCCTGCTCTCTGTACACCCACCTTGAGAGGTGAGGCAGAAAGTGACTAAAGACAGGATATTTTCTGTGGTGGCAGCTTGCCTTTGGAACACTCTCTCTCTTGAGGTTTACCTGGCACCAGGCTAGAATACATATTTTTATCCAGGCTGTTAATTAGGGATTTTATATTATCAACTTTTTAAAGGTCTGCTTCTGCTTTATGGATTGTTTTTAATGTTGATTCTATCCAATTGCTTGTGCTATAATGGCTTGTAGTTTTTAATAGTAAGCTACCTCAAGCAGGAGTCTGCAAGCAGCACAGAAATATTCTCAATAAATAAATATGATGAACTTTTTTTCAGGACACCTTATATACCTATGTCTTTTGGAACATTTTTGTTACAATGCAGTGGTTATATATAACAAATTATTCTTATTTACTTTTACATTTAGAGCATTCCAAAA